GTTCGAAAAGTTATGGTAGGATAATGTTTTTAAAAAATTGACTTTATATATAAGATAGTGAAAACTTATGACTGTAATGAAAAATGATGTTATATTGACTTATGAACATAACTATCAAGTTGCTGAGGAAATCACAAATAGAGACGAAACGTTCAACGGATAAATGTATTGTTCATTTAAATTAAATCTGTCCAAAAAATAACATCCCTAAGAATTAAACTTAGATAATAATATTAAAACAATTTTGGATAAGAAACAAATCTTTATTATATTAACATAATAAATAATGTTTCTGTTAAATTATCAATGATATTAGAAGGATAGAAAAATATTAAGTACAAAGTTATTGTCGGCTCGTGAAATTCAAAGAACTTGAGAACTTGAGAGAGAAAGAAAGAGAGAAGAGGTGCCCGGCCATGGGCCGGCCGCGTGCTCGACGGGACGTCGAACTTGAAACTACGCCACCGGTTTTTCGTGATCGAGTTTTATAAGAGGAAAGAGAGGAGGAGGAACCATGCACGCGATGACTATTACGAATCATCAAATGACGAACGACGACGCGTCTTTTACGTGGAAACGATTTACAATCTTTTTCTATAATACACTCGTCATTTTTTTATAAAAGATAGAAAAAGAAAAAGAGAGAGAGAGAGAGAGAAGGAGAATGATTCATATCAAACGATCAGCTGTGGTCACAAACACACACACACACACACATACACACTATCCAGTGTACTTTCTCGTAAATCCCAAACCTTTTCTTAGAACAAAAACTTATTCTCTTCCCCCCATTTCAAAGAGAAGAAGGGGGATTCTATTAAAAAATAAAAAGAAAAAAAAAAAAACAAAATATATATACGTTAAAAAAATAATTGAATACCTCACCGATATTTGTATTTATCCACTTGAAAATTTCCCTTCGAAGCCCTCGTTCCTATTCGCGTTAGTAGCACGATTATTGTACTTCTTAGGATCGTAGGCAGCCATACTTAAATAGAAAAAGATATACACCAGCAGACAGAGAGAGATAGAAAGAGATAGAATGATAGATAGATAGATAGAAAGAAAAAGAGAAAGGGAAAATACACGCACGCACGCATATATATATATACAAGGGATACACAAATCCACACATAAACCACACGCAAAGTAAGTAGAACAGACAGACAGACAGACGTAGAACCTTTGACACTTTACCGAGCTTACACGATTCGTGATTTAGTAGAGGATATTCCGCGTTGATGATCTCTCGGTTTGGTTTTGTTGATAAAATTGCAAAGTGTGAGAAAAAGAGAGTGAGAGTGAGAGAGAGAGAGAGAGAGAGATAGAAAGAGAGAGAACAAGAGAGAGACTCTCTCGACGTGGCGACGACGAAGACGAAGACGACGACGACTCGTTCGTGTAAAAGCAAAGAGGTTTTGAGAGACGAAACGACGAGGACGACGACGTTCTTCCCGAGGGCGGAGCACGGAATGAAAGGAAGTGGGGGGAACAGGACCGATACGTTAGTCTCGGGCCCGTAGAAGGTGCTTATTCGTTAGCACTGACGTTAGACTTTAAGGGCCCTTCTTTTCTGATCATATTATTATTATTTTTCTTCTATTAAATTAAAACCCTTCATCCTTTTTGTTAATTTTTGTCTTTTTAATAATAACATTTAAATACAAATTGAACCTATTGTTTGTTTTATAAACATTTATTAATATTCCCATTTTTGTATTTGAATTCTGAAATTTAGAGAAAGTGGAATAATGAAAGGTACATAAGAAAAGAAAATGATTAATTCAAGCCACGTGTTGCATGTGATAGTTTCATTTTGAATAATTTATCAAAAAGATCGTTCGATTTATGTTGTAAGAAATGTCAAGTAAATAAAAAAAAAAAAGAAAAAAATAAAAAGAAAAGGAATGAAGGAAAAATAATTCACCAGTGAACAATTGAAGTCAGCCACGTGTTATTTCTAACCCAAGAAGCTGATATGTGATGTTGTGTGTCCTTCTGTTGTTACGTGGCATCTGCTAGATAGCTTACTGCTACTGCTGCTGCTGCTGCTGCTGTTGTTTGCTGATCACGAATAGAGCTAACTGGACACGCATCGATGACGAGTCTAGACGAATATTATATCCCGCGGCGTTAGTTAAACATGATGACGCTATTATTTAAAGGTCTCTCTTTTTATTTCTTTCTTTCTTTATTTTTTTTTATACACCGCGAACAAAGTATAGTTTTATTATTTTCCTATTAGAATTTGTCTTTCCCCAAAGTTCCCATTTCTTATTCTCTTACACACTTACAAACGATTGACGGTGTTTCGTAGCTCACGTCTTCGAAACATGAATGGAAATGCTTCTTCTTCTTTCGCATTCGTCGCGTACAAGTTTGTATGTGTCTGTCTGTCTGTCTGTGTGTGTGTATATTTGTTTGTATTGCTTACACAAAACTTACGCACACATATATTGAAAGAAACGTGAGAGGAGAGGAGAAGGAAATAGAAGAGTAAGGAAAGAAGCACAGAAGAAGACTGTTCTGGAATTGGGTAGGAGAAATTTGTCGGTCAGATCAGGGCCGAGGCTATTGATCTTAGGGCCCTTTCAAGGGCTTCTTTAAGGGGTTACATGGGCTGGGGGACTTTCAACAAAATTTCTTTTTTTTTTTATTTTTTTCTTTTCAATTCTACAACTCTTCTAGAATATTGTATTGAATTTTGAAGTCGATAGGAGTAGTAGTTTTAAAGATAGAACCTTGGGAAGTTGCACTCCACCACTCAAATCTTTAAATGCGTTTTTCTCAAAAAGCTTTTTCTAAAGTCGGTTGTCAAGATTTCTCGAAAACTATTTAACCGATTTTCATGAAATTTGCTACACGACTTCGTGATACTATTGACAAGGACTTGGACGAAGGATTTTCGTTTTTTTTCATAAAATCGAATTTGAAGAAACCAAAATGTGGTGCAAATTCTAGCGAAATTTGAATGTTCTTGTTAAAAACGTTGCCAAAAATCCAAATTTTAAATTTTTTTCTTTTTCCTTCCTCCAGTTTCTAGTTTGAAGTATTCACTAAAAGACCCTATTTTTTCAACAGAAAAACCCCCACCGTTTATAAGTTCTGCTGTCAACGCGAAAACACTTTTTTTCGGTGTGGGTCACCGGAAATGACGTCGCAATGGCTGAGTTTAAAATACTTTTTCAACCAAAAATTCAGAAAATCTTCTTTAAATATGTATCTTAAATACTATAAAAAGTTTGAATAAGAATTCCATTGTTTATATAGAAAAAAAAATTATTGAAAATATGCTATTTTTCCCCCTCTCTCTCACTCTTTTATATCGTTACCATTTCTATCTCTTTCCTATATTTTCCTTCTTCGTAAGAAAAAAATGAATAAAAACCCCCACTCAATATTTTCTAGTATTAAGAAATAGATAACAGTATGGAATGTGTTTTCCTATGACCAATCGGATTTATTCTTTAACTATGGGCGGGTCATATTGGAATCAAGTTAATAGATCACGAATGAAAGATTTTTATATTCGTTGACACATTTTTTTTACAGTAAATCAATAATGTTCCTAGCATTTGTATGAGATTGTTTTTTTTAAATTAATATTGGTGGTCATGATCATGGGATTGAAAAAAAGGAACGAACTAACCAGAGGGAAGAAAAACAAAAGGGTTGTAAAAAGTAATGTAAAATGATTGATTTTCTATGTGAACAAAGTAGAAACGTGTGATATATATCGATCGTTATCGTTGTAGAACGTAATTCTTATCATTTTAAGAAGAAGAGTAAACGCATGCATGTTGACTCGAAGGGACAAAGATTAATTTTTTCTATTTCGAATTAGTGTGACTACTTACAAAAAGTGTGTCTTAGAAAAATAGAGAAAAAAAAAAGAACGTTTATGTTCGTAAACAACTGTTCTTTCTCAAAGTTTTTACTTTATTTCCTTATGGGTACGTGTTTTTATTTTGTATTCTTTCTTTTTCTTGGTCTTCCCATTTACGTCTTTTTCCAAGAGACCAAATCTTATTTAAATTGTGAATTGTAGGAAAAAATATATGTATAATATGTACATATGTTAATACCGTATAAAATGTTTCCTCTTTTATCTAGGTTTAATACTTTGTAGAATATATTATTTATACACGAGTTTTAGTTTAATTTCTTGAGAAAATAATACAACAACAACCCGTTGTACTGGCTGTGATTCATAGATTTTATCGAATGTATTAAAATACAACAGAACTATGAATCGTTGGTAAATTATTGGTTATATAGTCATACTATGATTCGTTCGATGAATAGGATTCCTTTCCTTCCTTTTCTTTCTATATCAACTCCTATTATTAAAATAATATTTGATAAAAAATTAAAACAATTTATACGACGTTACCTGTTCTTATGTTAGTCATCTAATGACTCGTGAAACCATGACAAATCGATTATAATCGATTTTCTCTGCACGCATATGTTTCTCGTAATATGGCGGAAAGATGCACTCGCGTGTTCCCTCGTTGCATCTGTGCTCTACATCGTTCGTAAAAAAAAAAAATATAAAAGAGAGTGTTACAATCCCGAACCGAATTGCTAAAAATAGTCCTGACTTTTTAGACTACACCATAAACTTTCACCATATTAATCTGTACAAGGGGATCAGTTGTCGTTGCATCGATTTTCGTTTGATTACATCGAACTCTGTGTTAAAATTTTCAAATCTATTTTATATATTAATGCACTTTTATTTCCACACACACACACACACATAATTGTTTCTATATAATAATTAATATTTATTTTTAAACGTTTAATTTTGAATTTTTCTTGATAATTTTCTAACGATTATATTTGTATAAGTTTATGATTTAATCGAAAATATCCATTTACCGTGTATATTAAAAATAAATGTTAATTGATTTATACAATTTATTCTAGCTGTTTATTAATGTATAGCAATTAATTAATATTTCGTTTTTAATTATTGTTTCTTTTTAATTACTTACAAAATACCAAAGTGACGAAATTGGTGTCAGCTGAAAAAGAAATTTAGGATTGTCGAAGGGCCTCGTTGAATCGAAGCTTTTGGAAGCATCAACTTTAGGCATTATGTCGAGTTCAACACAACTGGCTTCCCTTCATTCCCTTCCTTCCTTTCTCCCTTCCACCCTTTTGATAGCTTGCGTTCCTTGAACCAGTTGCTGCTGCTGCTGCTGTTTCGTTAGAGATATCTTCGACCTCAACAAGGTAGACGTCAGACTGGTTTCTGCCCAATTTAGTTGCCATACCTCACTACACCATCATCCTTCACCATGATATTCAATCCGCTTTAGAATGGAAATAGAAAAAAAAAAAAAATCATATCTTTAGTTATCGAGTTAAATAGGAAAACACCATAGTTTTCTATAAAAATATATATATATATATATTGTTTGTATGTTTTTATTATTATATATAATATATTATATTTCTTTTTAATTACTAAAAAAAATTTATATATTTCTTTTAAAATTATCCTCACCATGAATTATTTAAACAATCTTTTCGTAAAAAATTACGAGATATAAATATAATCATTTCGATCATGTTCATTAGCTGTATATAATCTAGTAAGTCATTTTTTCTGTACCTGTTCCAAGACAATAGTTTTTAACGAGTAAACTCCTTTAATTAATAATGAAAACAAAATATTTATATTAGATTTTTAATTGTAGTTTGCTTTTAAATGTATATAAAATTTAATTACACGTTCACTTTGTGTATAATGCTAGTTATTAAAAGTTACTAGGAAATAAGAAAGTTTCAAAAATATTGAATTTCTAGTAACATGGCTACGACGAAAATGGTAATAGTAGTGCTCTACCTTTATCTTACAAAAAAATTTTCACCGTAGAAAAAAAAGAATAATTGCTCATAATTGCTCACTGATTGTTTATTTAAAACTCATAATTGTTCGCTTTATTTTTTTTTATTTTTTTAATGTCGGTAATTCCGATGGTAAGTTACCATCAGATCTCGGTCGGTAATACAACTTACCGACAATAAAAAAATAGCGAAAATAAAGTGAGCAATTATAGGTTTTAAATGTGCTATTAGTGAGCAATTATGAGCAATTATTCTTTTTTTTCTGCGGTGAAAATTTTTTTGTAAGATAAAGGTAGTGCACTACTATTACCATTTTCGTCGTAGCCATGTTACTAGAAATTCAATATTTTTGAAACTTTCTTATTTCCTAGTAACTTTTAATAACTAGCAGTATACACAAAGTGAATGTGTAATTAAATTCAATATACATTTAAAAGCAAATAACAATTAAAAATCTAATATATATATTTAGTTTTAATATTTTGGCAGGTCCATGCGCAACTATGGTGGCTCACTCGATTTACTTACTTATTACTCAATGTTTGAATTAAATAATCATCCTCATAGTTATTTATATTTAAGTGAACTGTTAAAGTTTAAGTATGTACAATATATTTTTAAGAAAAATTATAATCATTAAGGAATCTTTACGTAAAACATAGGAACTTTTTTTAATATACGGCTGATAAGTATCACAAAACAAGCTAAGATAAGAAAGAAGATTTGATGAGAGAAAATTAAAACATTTAATTAATGCTTTTCTATTATGTTATATACAGAACACACAGAGTAATTCTCTCGTAGAGTATGTTTACACGAACCCTTTGTGACGTTAATTGCTCGAATTCATTAAACGAACTGAACAGGTAGGATAAGGAGGATGGGTGTCTCGATAATTATTACTCATGGTAGTTAAAACGAACTAGAATATAATGATTGCATTATTATTAAATATTTTTATCGGGAAGATTGTACGATTTAATAAAACGACCCTAACGAAAAAAGAAGTTAACCCTATAACTGTTAATGATTAAATTCTTTACGGTACTTTGAAAGTAATGCAAGTAAATATCAACTGGATGCATAGTTTCTTTCTATTTATTTTTCTATTGAAAAATGTTTGAAATCTTCTGTATTTTAACATTAAACCAATCGACACTTCCTGTACATTTCACTGAGAAGATTGAGAATTAACTTAAAGTAAAATAATCTAAATTTTGTATGCCACCTCTTCGGACATCATGTGATCCTGTAACAAACTTTAATTTTTCCATAGAACTTTGTAATTTATTCTTAATAAGGTATCACAGGGAACTTGGACATAAAAAGAAGTAGAACTTAATTTAACTATGTTGGACGTTTCGTCCCTTTATTGGGACTTCTTCAGCAACTTCTTAATCTTTACAGTTCAGGGTCTTTTTTTATTGGGTAGACATACATTTTTCTTTTTATTTAATTTATAAAAGTGGGTCATTTGTGTAGTGTTTTCTTTTTTCTTCAATAACATCTTTGAAATACAACGTCAATTACTGTTTTTAATTGTGGTGTCTATTCAATGCGACTGCTGCACATTTTTAAATTTAATAATCTGACTATGACGCGACTAACTTCATGCTGTTAATTTCATATCACTGTGCGCGCGCATCGTAAATATCAACAAACTTCATTCTATTAATTTGATATCGCTTGTGTGTTTTGCATATCGTAAAGAGTCAAAAGATACAATGAAGAATCTCCAGAAAAAGAAGATAAAGATAAAGATATAAAGATAAAAAAAAGAGAAGAGTCCAGGTAAAGCACAGTAAACTTTGATATTGTTATTGGTTAGGAACGATTCACGAAAAAGAAGAATAAAAAAAAGAAGAAGAAGAAATGACGTTGATGTTTTACGGAAGTATTATAAACCCATGGAACACCATAGCGCGGCCCTGGAATAGTCATGGTGGGAGAAACCGTGTATGACCGTCCTCGTCGTCGACGACCAGTACCGTGTGAACGACCGTGAAGTAAACCTCGAACTAAACGTGAATCCGACCTTAACATTTCTCACCTCGCGATGGATAATATTTTATTTATTTAAAAATAAAAAAACCAAATTACACAAACTATAGAATAATATTTTCAATAAAACGGTGTTCATTTGAGATTCTAACAGAGTTTAAAATATCATTCTTTAAAAAAGAAACTACAAAATTTTAAATCATTTAAAAATAATTTAAATAAAATCATTGATAATTATTGTTGCAATTTGTGTTTAAAAATAATTTGTAATTTTTATTATTAATAAAAACAAAAAAAAGAAATAGTTTGCGTTTCAAAAAGAGGATCATAAAATAATATAATAATTATCAGACCCTTCAAACTTGTAGCAGGATGTAAAAAAGAAGAAGAAGAAGAAGAGTATCCATGAAGTTATTGATAGTCTAAGGACGAAGAAGATAAAAAGGAAAAGAAAAGAAAAGGAAAAAAATAAAAAAATAAAGAAAGAGAAAAAGAGAAAGAGTAAAGGACGTTCGGTGTCTTGTCCGAAAACTTGGTTCTTAACACCAGACTGTTCCTCGGCAAGTAGGTCAAACGTTGTGTTGTGTTTGTGTGTGGTTAGTGTGAATGTGTATGCGCGAGAGTGCAAGGACTGAGAAAGAATAAAATACGTAGGAAAAAAATAAGAAGAAGAGGTGGAAGAATAAGGATACACCAAGAGAGTAAGGGAGGGGGGGGGAGAGAGAGAGTGAGAGAAAGAAAGAAAGAAGAAGAAGAAAAGAAGAAGAAGTAGGAAAAATAAAATGGCGGACGATGCCTGCGAAGTTGTAGTAGTAGTTGATTGCTGATGACGAGTTTCAGGCTCGTAATTCAAAATGGCGACCCTATACCGATTACACGATTCCTTTCGCATAGACAATTTGATTGGATTTGATAAAGCTACTTAATATTGCAAGAAAATATACTATCATTCAGTTGACCTTGATATACCTAAGAACGACCTTCGATAGGAGGAACCTCGTCCACCTTTTCCTTTTTTTTCTTTCTCCCTTTCTTTCCTTTTTGTTTTCTTTTTTTTTTTTGATGTCTCGAGTGCATCAACTAACAGGACGACGAAGAACTAACATGTCGGGATTGACCGGACCCAAGGCCTTATCGGCCTTGACCATTCTCTTCGTAACTACCGGTAAGTTATAGCAATCGTTGCGGTTGAACGGCTGATCGAAAGCCATAGATCTTATAGGGAAATAGTTAGGAATAGGAATTTTTTCATAAATTTGTTTTAATTTTTGTATATCATATAGTATAATGTATTATATTATATTATACATATAATATATTATAGTATAGGGAATATATAAGAATTTCATTTAGATTTTAATTAATTATTTTTAATGTTT